TATATATGCATGATAGGCGAAAGAAAAAAACAATTTTAAGCTAAGCACGAATCTGAACTCAATTCCTGTGATTTCTAAAGATATTCTATAAGTCTGAGAGTAGAGTCAGTGGTCACCGGATAGGATCGCATACAGTATGATCCATGCTAACTTAGCACGTCTGTATTTTCTCCTTGCAATTTAGTGATAAAAAGCACAGTGAATGTACCTTTTCACTTTTTGAAGTACACATAACACTCGGATTTAAATCCGAGGTTTTCGCATTTATTCTATATATTTTGGGACCATTTCACTGTCCTTCTATTTAATATTCCAGAAAGCAATAAAAAAGTAATTCATATATTATAACGAAATATTATTGATATATAGTCTGTGATTGTGATCATATATCAACGTCTGTCATTGTTCTTGACGTGGAGGTGAGAGTTCAAATTTTTACTCCCATACTTCAAGGTTTCTTTCAGATTATGTTTCACAAAAGTGCATAAGATCAAGTAAATATGATTTGATGAGGATTCAAAAAATTCTTTGCTCGAATTGTCAAAAGTCTATTAGACTTTGATCATTACTAAAAAAAAAGTTTATCGGTTAGCAGAGGTTATACGAGATTTAGTTGCTAATAACATTGACTTTTTTCGAAAAAATTTTGATAATCGATTTTAGTATTATTTAAATCCCTTCTGTGAAAGAAATATTGTATACATGAATTAAACCCTCCCGCTTGTCTGAGAAATTATGAAAACAATGGGGTAACTTTTTTGAGATCTAAAATAATATCCTCACCTTTAGGAAAATGTGTGAGTGTGATCGCAAGTTTTACTACACCTTGACATCCACATTTACATCTTCGCTGAAAAGTGACGATATAATTTAATATCTCAAAAAAAATTAACCTCCATTATTTCTGTTTTTTACTGGTTAACATTTTCTCTTTTTTCTTTTCTTTGAATAGTATTAGCATGCAACGCCTTCATTTTCTTCAATAGCGAAGACTTTGATGATCGTTTTTTTGATTTTAACATTAAGAATTCTTTTTTGATAAAAAGAAAAAAAAAAAAAAAAAGAATTTACTTGAGATGATTCTAATACTTCATGAAGTTGAATAAGATTGGTATGATTAACTTCTGTTAGTAATTTGACTTCATTGTCAAGAATTGATGCTTTAGATTTATTGCCAGGCTAAATATAAAAATAAAATGCTTCATAGAATAAAGACATTCTAAAAAAAGAACAAATTACTTTTTTTGTAATTGTTTTCATAGCATAAAATAAATCATTTTCTTTATTTTTAACACGAGATACAGTTCCAAATGAACCTTCACCTAATTTATTTAAAAGTTCATATCGTGTTTCTATATTTCCATCATCATGAAGACGTATATGAGATATCTGACGTGTTGATACAGTTGAAAATTGTTTCTTCATTCCATTGGCCATATTACAATAAATATCGTTGAAAATAACTTAAAAGAAAAATTTCATATAACAATTGTTCGATAAACATGAACTCACATTGTCTTTGACGACAGACAACAACTACGATAATAATAATGGCTCGACGACTAAGATATGCATTAACTTATGCTAGATAAATAAAAAAATCAAAGAAACCTTAGACGTTCAAATACAGTCGAACATATATTAAATTTGTTTCTTTTCTCTCTGAAGAATAAAGAGCAATTCTTTTTAAAATTTTTTATCGAAATAAAGCTCAAGCATGTCATTACATTGTATGTATAGTAAATATAAGAGAAAAAAACTACGAATTCATGCTTGCTTATATATTTTGGTCTATATAACATTAGGCAGCAAATAAATGTTAACAAAAACAGACACTTATTTCAAGAGTTTTTTCTTTTTTTAAAATTCTTTTCTTTTTTTTTTCTTGTATAAAAGAAAGAAAAAAGAATGACCTAATAATATTCTTGATTTCGATAAATAATGATTATTGAATTTTTTGATATATTCACAATGATGATATCGATTAATAGATACATTTGATAATCAACAGACATGAAAAAGAATATGTAATTGTATATGTGTAATAATGTTTAAATATTCTCTTCAATACATAAATGATCAAAAAATATATTTCTTTTTAACATTTTTACAATGAGATTTTTGCTTGTTTTTTTTCGTGTTTAAACTCTTCTTAACACAAGTATTCGAAGCTTTTAATAAAGAAAATATTTTTCTTGTAAGAAGACAATATATGAAAGAAAAAAAAAAAATTTAATTCACAGACACAATCAGTTGTTTCATTCAATTGAGAAGAAAAATATGAAACATTGAAGAGAGAATCTAGGGAATGGTTGACAAATGACATAAGAGAAATACTCGAATTCATTTAAAACACTAGAATCATATATTTTACTTGTACTAAAACAGATTTATCATCTCAAAAATTTATCAAGCATTTTAATTTCTTCCAATTCATGATAAAATATTTTATTCTAATGCATTCAAAAAGATTTCCAGAAAAATAAATTATGAAAGCTATTGCTTGAATTATTAGAGATATTGAATGTTTAAAATGACTCTATACTGTTCAATTGAACTATTTTAAGAACAAGATTTATACACAATATCAAATCGTTGAAAAAAACATTTGAAAATATCATGCTGTGAAATCCTGAATGGTTACAAAATAACTAAAAATAAATTGCATGCAACTCTAATAGATCTTTTAATATGGCACATACACAAAGGTTAAATTTAGTTGATATTAAATCTTGATTACATTTGTAAATCAGTTGTTTTTCATTTCTTACATTGAATAAATTGAAAAACAAATAATCGTTCAAATTAATGAATCCGGTACTCAATGTTTGGAATGTTCCCCGGAATTTAACAATAAAGACGTCGTTTCCGGTCCGGAAAACGAGAGGAAATGGTAGAAAATTGAAAAGAGGAATTCGATGATTATAATCGGTGAGCAACTCTTTGCTCAGAACTGAAAAACTTCAGCTATAGAATTCAATCATTGAACTTCTGCTTTCAAGTTCTATGCATTTTCGCACTTTTTCGATACGAAATGTTCGTGAATCATTTCGAGGAAAGAAATCGAATTCATCGAAACTTATATAATCATACAATAAAATGAAACTCAAGCAAAAAATAACAATATAAAATTCGATCGCATTGTCATGTTTATGATTTATTCACTTTAAAACTAGTGCGCATTATGAATTTTACCATGGACTAGTTCGAACAATTTATAATGTACAACTTCAAAACTAGATATTTATCTTTTCTTCACTATTGAGCATAAACAAAGTTTGGACAAAATTGTGACTTTTATAAGAAGACATGTTTTATTTTATCCTTAATTTATTATGTCTTGTACTTTATTTATGAAGATGAAATATTATTAATAAAAGAACTAAATCATATATTTTATAGTATTATCTCTGAATATATATATATATATCAACGAAAGAGTCAAATAAAATAAATTTTGTACTTTTTATTTGAAATCTGTTTATTACCTTTCGTTGTCGATCGACTATGAATATAGTAAAAAAAAGTATCTTTGAGAGTAAAATAACAACAAAAGGAAATAAAATTCCATTTATACAATAATTTTTTGTTGTTCTCGTTACGATCTTTTGTTCCATCGAAAATTCCATGAATACCGATTCGTTATATGGTTATTCATCATTACATTAGTTTTTGGCATGCGACAACCAATCTACTAACAATCTACATGCAATCGAACAATCTTAGAGGAAGAAGAAAAACAAAGAAAAATATGCTAAAAGGCTTCATCGTAATCGTACTATTTCTTATTTTTACCTAAATCGAAACAACCATTTTAAATGTCCTTTTTCAACTGTTGCTTTCCTTCAGTTTCTTTATTGATGTATTGATTGTATAGATGTCACTTCATCAATATACTATTAAATAAATATGTAATATATATGTATTAGTACTGTTTATTTGAATATTTGTAAAATAAAAGTAAAATAAACTTTTATTAGAGTTCGATATATTGATAGAATGAATATTAATATATTTCTATTGGTAGTTTAATATGAATCAAAGTGAAGAGTAAAATTTGGTTGGCTTTTAATGTCTATGAAAAAATTTCTCGTGTGACATAAAAATAAACTTGACATTAAGATGAATACGGATCTTGAAGGTCTTTTGGAATTTCTTCTTTATATTGGTCAAGCAAAACGAACATTTCGTACTGGTTGGGTAATACGTGGCGTAGAAAAAGTTGAAAGTGTTGCTGATCATATGTATCGAATGGCTGTTATGTCGCTTTTATTACCAACTATATCTGAAGAATCAAAAGTGCGTTGTATGAAATTAGCACTTGTTCATGATTTAGCTGAATCAGTTGTTGGAGATTTAACAGAATTTGATGGTGTACCAAAAACAGAAAAACGTAGACGAGAAACTGAAGCAATGCTTTATTTAACAAGTTTATTACCCGCTGATGTTGGTAGAGAAATATTCTCATTATTTAATGAATATGCTGATCAAAAAACAATTGAATCTAAACTTGTTAAAGATTTAGATATATTTGATATGCTTTTACAAGGTAAATTTTTTAGATGGGATTTTTCTTTTACAAATTAAATGTTTAAATAAAAAAATTTTAGCTTATGAATATGAAAAAATTCAATCTGAAGGTGAATTTTTAGAAGATTTTTTTTCGGGTTCTGCTCATAATATAAAAACAACAACAGTTCGACAATGGCTTAAACAATTAATGGAATGTCGATCATCTGGAAAACAATTTCAATTACCATCAGATTCAAATCTTAATACAATGCTTAAACATGTTCTTTATGATGATCAAGGTTTGCATTTTTATCAGACAAAACATAAATAGTTTAATGTCGTTGAGAAAATGTTTAATGAGACATAGCAGATCATAAGTTTTTATCTGTTTAAAAGAAGTTTTGAACTAATGAGAATGATTTGATGTAAAATTCATTTGATCGAAAATGAATAGTCAAAGACCATAGGTTTTTTTTCAAATTATTATATACTAAAAATCATTATGAGATCTTTTTTTTCTTCATATATATGTGTTTTGATTGTACGTTAACAGTATTTTCTAATTAAGTAACGTCAAAGACAAACTATAATGAATACTTCATTGTAAAGTGATATATTTATGTATTCTCTTAGATAAATTCTTCAATTCTTATTAAAATTAAGGATATAATCATGACAAACTTAAGCCCAAGGATATACGTGAGATGTAGATGTTACATTTTTATCATTAACATCTTCATAAGATAAAAATTGTAAAATTTTTATTATATACATATGTTTTTATAAATAGAAATAATAGAGAAGAAAATGAAAGGCAATCAAGTGTATCGGCCATGATAGAAGAAAAGAATCATATGGACGGATAACAGTCAAATATAAATAGAATGATTACAAGGTTGATAAAAATAACAGATGTAATGATAAAAATTTTACACTTCATTAGAGTAACTCTTAGCTAACAGAGAAAAAAGCGAATATTATCTTCTAAAGATTTTTAACTATTTAAAGTCTACAATTACGAACATATAAGTTTTGAGTTCATTTTATTATAAGTCTCTGGCAATAAATCCCGAATACTTGATGAACTGAAACTAATATAGTTGTAATAGTAGACTTGAAATAGCTGTGAAGTTTTAGATTATGGCTTTGACATATCCTTGAAGTACGCCGAAGTACAGAACTTTCTCTTTTTCTCTTTTAATCTTTGGCAAAAATTTGATTACATTTCATATCACATCACATAAGAATTGTGCTGAAATGTTTAGTTTTGTTAAACATTATAGACAAGTAATCATAGATAATCGTACATTATCATTGAACTTATAATGATTGATAATTTAGAAAAAAGCTCAATCTGAAAAATGACTTTTTTTAGGATGATCATGCGCATTGTATTCTTAATAGTTCAACAATAAAAAGGCAATAAAAGAAATATTTGAAAGTACAATAGACATTTATAAATGAAAGTCATTTGAGAAAATAAATTTCAATCTTCGATTGATCAAAAATAAACACACGTGCTTCAGTCTTTGTTTCTACATTAATGAAATATTCACTTTGATTATATTTAATTTCGAATATATGTTGGATTTTTATGTTGAAATACATAATAGATTTATTTTTGATATATAGGAACATTTTTATACAATTTTCCATCATCTGATATTCGTTCCAAATCACATCGTATTATATCAAATAAAAATAAACTCGATAGATCAACATCATCATCTATAGATACAACACAACGTCTGACAAATCTTGTCAAAGGCTTAAAACATCATTACAATTAATTTTATTTTTAATATCATTCTGAACAGTTTCAAGAGAAAGATAACAGAAATATTTATGTATTAATTATTAGAATTTAGAAATGCTTCTTCTTTATATTGTTTGGTTCATATTGACATAACATAGTCAATGCCATATTATATTCAAATATTATTTTATTGTACAGTATTCATCTCTTTTATTGCTATTTTGTGCATAATAAATAAATAAATAAATAAATAAATAAATAAATAAATAAATTTGTTTTTAATTTGAATTATTTTAGATATAAATTATTTGTTTTAATAAAGATAAAAGAAAAAAAAAAAGATATTAATTTTTATTTATTTGAATGTATATCAATCGATTATTTTTTATAATATTTATTCGATGAATCAATCTTCTAATAGTGGAAATAAACAAAATCAAATTGAAAAATATTCAACATTATTTAATGATGAAAATAATCATTCAATTTATAATGGTACATCATTATCTTTACAATCATTTGTAGATGATATACCATTTGAATTTAATCAAAAATATCGAACTATTATTGTTGTAAGTATTAAGATTTATTTTATTTTATTTTAATTAAATTAAATTTTGTTTTGTTTTGTTTTGTTTTTCTTAAGTCTAATATAAATATTCCTGAATATGATACAACTAAAATTCGTAATATTCTTGCTAAACCGGTAAGATTTTTTTTTAATAAAAAAAATAAAATAATCAATTTTTTCTTATACTATATAGATCGATTTTACATTAGAAAACAATGTTTTATTAGAAGCTTTAGAAGATTTAAAACGTAAAAAGAAAGAAATTCAAGAAGATAATTTACGTCAACAAGCAACTTCACTTTCAGCAGCAGTTACAACTAAGTAAGTATAGATTAAATCAGTATGACGAATTAACCATAGAAACAATTAAACTCTCTCTCTTATTTGTAAATCTACAGTATAAATTCTCTATAATTGATATCCTTCGAACATTTTAAATCATCTCAAATAATTTGTCAAATACTTATTAGAGATCTATCTAATTCAAGAGTGAGTTTTCTGCTTGAAATCTTTTTTTGTTGCAAATTTTGTTTAATCTGATTGATTCTACCTTTCATTTGGAATTAGCAAAAATGATCTGATGATGATAACAATTGATAGATACAGTTTCATCGATCATTTTACATCATCTTTGAATAGTTGTTAAATCATATGTACCTTTTTAATCACGAAATATCTTCATCGAATATTCGTTATTCTAATGTTTCAAAAGTACTAATTTCTGTAAACCTATGTTTTTTTAATTACTCAAAATTGTTTTCTTATAAAAAATGCAATGAAAAAAAAAACACTAAAGAGTGTCGAGACAATTTTTTGTCTTTTATCAGCAAACAACATTAGCCACCTAATGATCCTGATCGTAACCCATTATATTAGAGCGTTTGAGATGAATTTATGAAGACTATTAACTAGAAAAGATTGATTTCAATAGAAGCAATTATTATTCAAGCATTGAAGTGTGTAGTAAAATCCCTCGTCAAAATATTATCGTTGAAATCTGTGTTTCTTGGATCAATCGATTGTATTCTATATCGAAATACAATGGAAATCATTTAAGATAATAAAAATATCTATATTTATAGAGAATTGAATAATAAACATTTCCTAAACACAATTATTACAAATATATGTGCAAAAAAACAGAGAGTTCCATTATTTATGACTCATCCTTTAATATAAACATTGTCTTTACTTTAGTTGTCAAACAACAAGTTCGGTATCGATTTCATCAAATACTCTATCTGAAAATATTTCTTTTCCTGTAACTCTTCCACCGGTACCTCCACTAACGCATATACCAAACACTCAACCTACGCTACATATACCGATTCCTGTCACATCATTTTCAGTAGCAGCTGCTCCTCCTCCACGGCCACCACCTCCAACAACAAAACCTTCTATTTCACCATCATATCGTCTACCTTCTGTACGTGATATATATTGGCCAACCGGTAATCAACAACAATATATTGTTCCTATTAGTGGTCCATCAACATTAACATCGAATGCATTAAATTTACCAACGCCAATTCGTTCAACAAATTCATCGCCTAGTTCAGTCACACAAAATAATCAGTCATTTAATAACTGTGATTCAATAGCTGCTATGGATTTAACTGCGACATTTGATGAAACATTGGGTTCTGATGATCCTTTTCATGATGCTGAACTAAAATCATTGAATGATGTTGCTGAATTAAGACATTTATATTCGGCTATTGGCTCAGCCAATACTGTTCGACGATAAATTACATCTAATTTTTTTCCTCTTCTTCTTTTCTTTTTTTTTATTGTTCAAATATAACTAATAAAATTGATGAGAGAATCATATCTGGCTATAAAATTGTGTTTCTTTAAGACATAGGAATCAGTTCTATTAGTAGCAACTTTTTTTTTTTACATAATATAACAATCAACATTTACTTCGAATCTACAGTAAAAAGATATTTAGTCATTTGTTCTTCATATTGATTGCACGTTAATCTACGTTACTTTTTAAATATTATTAAGTTGAGATATTTTTTTTCTACAAATACATTCATATTCTTTAGATATCATTGATAAATAGTCAACATCAGCATTTGTGAGTTGATTGAGATATATACTAATGCGTTGAAATCTGATGCTGTAGATTTTATGGATATGTGCAACAGGTTTATTTGGTATTTAATTTAATGAGTAGAATAATAATAATAAGGTTAAATTAAGAAAAAGAATAATAACTAACGAACAGTAAAAATGCAAACAGAAAATCGACCGATCGAACAAGAAAGAGAAAAAAATCGTTTGAAATGCAGAAATAAATTAGAGAAATCTTTTATTCTGAAGCTCGATTATAATGAGAAAAAATATACTTTTCAGTCCATAAAAAGCTGTGCTAACAAGCATTTTATAATGAGTTCCATAAGTGTGGAATGAATGATCAATGTATTTCGATCACCATGTAGCAGAGTTAGTTTCTGTCACACCGACACCGTTGTCGATCTTGTATGTGTGGCCAAGCCATTCGATTGTTCCACTATAAGTTCCGTATGGTTGAACAAAATCAATAGCGATAAGCAACAAGTAATCATGTTCCTCATAACTTCCCCACGGGTGAAATATCAGATGAAGTATTGGACTATTCGTAGTATCGACAGATGAATCGAAATTCCAAGGTTGGCTTGTTTGAAACTGTTGGCTTGGTAATTGAAAGATAACTTTATCGACGATATAAACACGATTATCGATCCTATGACATGAAAAATCATCAAATGATACTCTATTTCAATACGACTTACCAAATAGCATTTTCCATTGAAATACCATTTTCATCATCGTAAAGTTCAACGGAAAGACTGATACCAATCCTTATCGGTTGATTATTGGCAGAATCTATTCCGTTCGTCGACAACGAAGCCCTATATTAATTGAATGAACAATATTCAAGAGACAAATTCATTTTCAAAAAAAAGAAAAAGACCATTTCCAAGTGGTAGTATGCTCAAAAAAGCCTAACGTCCAATCTCCACTACCGAGACCATCTATTAATTGTTCATTTTGATTATCAATTTTTAATGTTCCTTTGACAGGTCGAGCAGCAATTTTGTGAGTGTAAGCTGGACGATATTGTCGTATTGGATATAGTAGAACCATTGAATCGTCGGTGTCTTGAAAAAATTGCATTTTACAATTCAATGATAAATGAATTCCACCATTGATCGGAACAACTGCTTCAATGTGGAATACTTTCTCGACAGAATTATAGCAGAGACGAATATATTCGGTATCTGATTGACGATAGTGAGTACAACCATTGATTGATGATTTGGCCTTTTCTTTGATAGCTATTGCTAAGATCGATTTCGAAGAGTATTTATAGATTTGATTGGCATTTGTTCGATCAATTACGTAGAGAAAAGCATTAGCCTCATAGTTGAGATTGACAATACTGACGCCAATGAAATATGTTGGTGTAGAAATGGATTTGAAATCCCAATTTTTTAATGAAAAAAAATCGACCAACAGCGGTGATACCCATGAAAAATCAATAACATAAAATGGCTTTTTATAACGACCATAATCGTTGGGTGCTGAAGGAGGTCCATCTCGGATAGGACCCAGATTTTTTGGTTTCCAAGAGCTAAAGAAGAGGGCTGTTGTAGATAGACCAAAGTTATCTAAGACAATAAAATCGATTAGTAAAGACAACACAACGAATTACTCTTACCAATGATCAGAAGTAATGAGACAATAATAATAAGAAGATTCTTCATCATTTGTATTCAATGATGGATCTATCAAAATAAATAATATTGATTTTTTTTTAATTTAATTGTGTTGTTCAGATTAGGAGATGGTATTTTGCTAGTAACGAAACAGCATTCAATTTGTATATACTCTAATTGCAATGTATACATTAAGTTGATATAAAGAATTTCCTAATCAAATAAATACCATAGAACACTAAATAACAGAGACTCACAGGACAATAACAGATAGGAGAGAGGACATAATGGGCCTAGTAAGACTGAAAATGAATACGTGTTTTCCCAGTAAGCTGGAAACGAAAACTAGTCGTCATTTATTACTCCATCGTATCAGTCCATTCTCTAACATGATAAACTATATGTCTGCACTACTATTTATGAAAGAATGCTCGAAATATAAGAATCTTTCTGTTCAAATCAGTTAGATATAGTCATGATAGAGAATATTATTCGAAGAGTATATGTTAAGATGAAAAAATATTGATGTGTATTCGTTTGTTTTCAACAAATTGTTGAAGTTATTTGAGAATCGACTTCTTTCAATATGAGAATGGTTCCTACTACTTATATTAACATCAGTTGCATACATGAATATTTCACAGATTATCTATTGACATTTTCATTTCATCAAAAATAGCTTCAATTTCAAGCAAAATAATCTAACATTGATTTAGATTCTCTGATTGATTAGGCTACAATATATGAGAATATATTGGTAAAGTTTAACCATGATTTGATAGATTGCTCAATCCGATGAATTGTACAAAAACAAATTTTTTTTTGACTCGTCAGAGATATGAAAAACTGATGACAAAGCTAAGAGTGATTTCAATTGAATTTAATTGACTTGATTGAAATTTTACTTTTATTTTAATTGCTTTCGAGGACGCATTACTTTTTCATGTAACTACTCCATAGGAGGTATAGAGGGACACCTTAAATCTTTTAAATAACAATTCAAAATATACTATCTACGGCAACATGATCTTCTACATTATACACTAAATTGATGATTTAACTGCAAGTTTCTATGAAAACAAACTATCGTCATATCACATTGATAAGGAAACACCTGCAATTCGGGTGTTTTTTCTAAATGATGGACATATCCCTCATACTATTGTAGACTAGGGGTGGGGCTTTATCTATATTTTACTTTGAAAAATAAAACTAAAGTTAAATAAAGTTATCTATTAAGGTTAAGTTTATTATTAATTTATCAGTTCACTGTCATGTATTGATAATGTGACGATATATGAAACTTTATTCAAAGCATTCTCTTAAATAATAACTGAAAAATAAAATAAAACAAAACTGCAAAATCAATACTTATCATGTGTATTAGGGATAACATTTTACGTCAATTTTATTTGAATAAAGTTGAACTGTGTTTGTAAAAAAAACAACTAATAAAATTAACTCGTGCTGTTCCTACTTGTTTTGGAATTCCTTATCATAAGGTGTCATACTACCATCGTAAGTCACGACATTTCCTATTAGTATTTCTATCGATTATATCAACGAAAACCAATCACTAAACTAACTAACCATATATAGAGGTGGGAAGTTTCGATTACTAGACAGCTATGTTACTACGAAATGAAAAATTCGTGGATTTTTTTCACTAAAGAAAGCCTTTTTTTGGGAAGATAACGAATTCGATAAAGTTTGACCAAAGATTTTTTATTCAAGGAATCTGAATCTATGATCAGTATCTCAAAATTGTGTAATTATTTGATTTCTCAGTCACATAGCATTCTACTCTGGAGAACTTTCATCAAACTTAATAAAAAAAAAAAAGAAAACGGTACTTTCGAAAAAAGGATTTTCTTAATGAAAAAAGTCAAATTCACAAATAATCCGTTACTTCGCTACCTAGTAGCATAACTATCTAGTAATGAGAACTTTGTACCCTATATAGGGTTATTTAGTGTAATGATTGGCTTTTGTAGATATAATTCATAAAAAGACTAATAAAAAATCTCGAGGTATCGAACGGTTGAATGTTATCTTATAATAATGAATTCTGAAATAATTGTAAACAGCAAAAGTTAACTGTTTTTGTTGGTTTTTACAAACGCAGATCAACTTTATTCAAACAAAACTAACGTAAAATTTTATCTCTAGTACACGTGAAAACTAGCCAGACTTTGAAATATTAATACATGAAAAATATTGATTTTTCAGTTTTATTTCGTTTTATTTTTCACTTATAATTAACCTTGCAATATATGAATCATCTTTTATATATTGCAACATTTTTAATGCATGATAATGAGCTAATAAATTAATAATAAACTTAACCTTAATAGATTACATCGCATTAATTTACTGTACTTTTGCGAGTAAAATAAAAATAAAAGGTCACCACTATTCTCTACTTAAGAAATGATTAAAGCTATTTACCTGTAAAATATTTAATATATGGGCTTCATTTTTTTACTTCTATCTATGAAAAAATACAGACTGAAGATACACAGACAAACGAAAACGTTTTTTGCTATACATCTGAATAGAATATGTAGGCAGCTATCTATGGCGCATTTAATTAATACGCTCCTATCCTCTATAATACCTAGGAAAGAACGTACCCAGAGAACACATAAAACAAAAAATAGCTTTTTTGCTTTACATCTGAATTAAACTAAACGCAACTGCTTGTGACGAATTTAATCAATAGGCTCCTATTCTGTATGTTGCTTAGAAGAAAAAAATACACGCATAGGACACAAAAAACAAAAATAGCTTCTTGTTCTATATCTAAAATAAAATATACGTAACTAGTTGTGACGATTTTAATCGCTAGACCTCTCCCTTAGACTCTATCTACGAAAAAAAATACAGAGATGACGCTGAGAAAAATGTTTTTTTTTCTATATTTAAGAGACAATAAAAGCAATAATGAGTGATAAATAGGATCGAAGAGATTTTCTCTTTTATTCTACGTATAAAAAAATATACGTGAATGACGCAGATAAGTGAAATAGTATGGTTTCTATATTTGGCGACAATAAAAACAGTTACCTGTGAAGAATTGGATTGAAAAGCTCTTCTCTTTTTTCCATATTCTGTTTTTGAAAAGATATAGTAACAGAAATCATTCACAAGAGAGAATTTGTTTTTGTTCATGGGCAATAAGGTGAACACAGTTAGCTATGTAGTATTCGATTGAAAAGCTATTCTATTTTCGATTATTTCTCTATAAGAAATGCACTCACCAGATGAAGCAGAGAGAAAAAGTGTTTGTTTTTGGTATGTTTTCGACAAAATGATCGGATTAGAGATGATTGATCAGGTGGAAATACTTTTCATCTTTTTCGTTGTTTCTATGTAAAATATAACAAGGGATAGAGAATTGAAAGGATGTGTTTTTTGTAAGTATGTTATTGTTCACGTAGTTAATTGATGTGCTATTGATCGAGAGATCCTTTTACTTTTTTGTGATCTTGCGATTAAATAATGTTGCGAGTTCAGAAAACCATAGATTAAATTTTTCTGTGCTTCCCTTGCAGAAATAACACAATTAGGTTGGACAAATTTGATTAATAAGCTGTTCTGTTTTCTTTGTCTCTCTCAATGTTCAATATGGTGGCAATGGCAAGCGATTATGGAACGGTTTGTATTGAAACTTGACTGAATCGAATTCTAGCAAACAAAGCAATTGTAAGTAGAGGTGTAAGCCATCCAGCTGCGCCGCCGATTTTTTCCCAAAATCAGCCGCCGCCGCTGTGAAAAAGTTAGTTCAGCCGTTGCGCCGCCGCCACAAAGGAAAAATTTTGATAATAGTACGATGCGCCGCTGCCACTAACATTTTTAGGAGCAAAAACGTTTTTTTTGGTTGTCAAAGCCGCCGCCGGTGCAGAAAAACATAGAGTATAGTAGTCGCCGCCGCCGTCGGTGTAGAAAAGCATAGAGTCAAGTAGGCACCGCCGCCATGAAAAAAAATTGGACCATTAAAACAGCTGCCGCCGTTTGACCCTTCGACTTACACCTCTAATTGTAAGTGAACAAAGCATTCGTTTGGATAAATCAAAGTCTGATTATGTGAAAACACGTCTCGATGCATCATTGATATTGATATTGAATTGGTTGCTCCACGGAATAGAACGATCTTGTATCTCGTATTTCATATTCTGTGGATCACTATTGTCTTTTTTTTTGTTTCTTCTTTGATTGATCCGATAATCAAGAGAAAAAAGAACATTACAGATTCAAGTTCTATACGAAAAATAACTAATACAGGAACAAGAGAAAAATAGCGAGATGATGAGAGTACTTTATGTTATTGAAGAAAATCTAAGCAACAAGGAAACGTGACGAAGAAAAAGAAAGTATATGCTTTTCCGTGCTACTACTATGATTCATTCCTTCACTATGATCACATCTTCAGACAGATTTTGATCATGATCGTGTCTTGTTTTCACTTGTCACTTCTCAGGAAGAAAAGAAAAATGACCATCACTTGATATGTTATTGCACAACTACATGTACTTGTGATACCGTAAATCTTATACGCGTATTATCGCTTCTTGTGAGTTCGTCGATGTTAGTATCGAAGCTCGAATCGCTTTCTAACGAAATACTCATAGATCTTCTAAAAAAATATATCAATGCAGTATAGGTGTTTGTTATTTTTGGTAATCAATTAAATAGCCACTTCAACACTCTTGTTGATCAATGTCAACAATTTCATCTCGATTTTATCCGTATTCGTAAGAAAGACTTTTAGATTTGTCTTAATCTTCTACCACAATATCCTTAGCAAGATCAAAGATCTAACTTTATCCGAACTTGGCACACTCGGTCAAATTAATACCTTTCTATCATTCTTTTCATTATTGAACAAATTTAATGAACTCTATGAGTTATACTTAGATTTTGATGTCATAACTGTTGACAAGTATCGAATTAATTAGGTTCTTCAGTCGTTATCGAATTCGAGTCTTTGTACACTGTTGATCAAAACAACACATGTATCACAGTCTGAAACTTTGAATTTTATTAATCGA